CGCTTTCCATCGCAGAACCCTCGAACCCCAAGAAACCCAGCGCACCCTGGAGGCAAGCAGGGTGTTTCTTGGCATGGGTCTTCACTGTATTTCAGCACGTTGACTGTATTATGATGAAAGCATTGGACTCGGAACCGTTAGATAAGGAATCCAGGGCCCGGAAGCGGCTGGAACGCCAGTGGAGGTTTCGCCACGGCTGTTGCAGCCGCTCTCATCAGATGATAAAAAGTCCTCCAGGATCGGGAGCCTCCTGTGGACACTCCCTGACGACCGCCGCGACCGTATCGGACGCAGAATTGGAGTCCTGATCCTGAGGCTCCCTCCGTTTGAGCGGCCCGGCGCGCCCTCGCAGGCGGAAGGCCGTCCACGTCGAGGCGGTCGTACCAGGGCGCCGAGGCTGCCTCTTCTCTCTCTCTCTCTCTATCTCTCTTTATAGAGACAGCTGTGTGTGTATATATATATATATATGTATGTATGTGTACGCGTATATATATATATATATATATATATATATATATATATATATATAGATGGGCGTATATCGACAACGTAGGCGTACACCCAGAAAGGAATATGCACATCCTACTGCCTATCCCCTCCCCTCGATGTCAGAGTGAGGGGGCCGAACGGTCATTCACTGTCCCTGGGCGCGTGGCTGAAGTAAGGTTCTGCGGTGCGGATTGTTGCTGTTGTTGAAATCTCACTACTGAGGAATCCTTATTGTGCTTTTTCAATTGAAGTGCTTCGCATGGGGCTCGCACCCTGTTTTCTATCAGGGAGGGTCAAACTGTGTTGTTGGCCCCCGAACTACAACAACAACAGCAACAACAACGACTCCCGCCTGGTACTTCCTCGCAATTTACTGAAGAATCGCGGTCTCGTGCGGGACTTCCTTACAATTTATACCGGAATCGCGCTCTCGCGTGGGACTTCCTGACGATTTAATTAGGCGCCATGCCCTCGCCATTCAGGTATCGCCCTCTCGCCTGGGACTTCTTCATACATTACTTCGGAATCGCGCTCTTGCCCGAGACTTCCGGGCGAAGTATACAAGACTCACGCATTCGCATGACATACGTGTTTTTGTTCAATTGAAGTGCCTCTCACGGGGCTCGATGTGTTTGTACCGGGGAAAATCTTCCTGTTCAAATTGTGCCCCTGGCCCCCAGTTTACAACAACAGCGGCTCCCGCCTGATATTTCTTTACAATTTATTCCCAAATCGCGCTCTCGCGAGGGACTTGCTCACAATTTAATGCAGGATGATGCTTTCGCGTGGGACATCCTTGCAGTTTATTCAGACGCCACGCCCTCGACACTCAGGAATCATGCTCTCGCTGTGGATTCCTTTTAGATTTATTGGGGGATCGCGCTGTCGCTCGAGACTTCCTCGCGACTCATGCAGGACGCACGCTTTAGCAACCCGCCTGCTCGACCTGGCCGTCTAGGCCAGCCTTTCCGACCCGCCCGTTAGGGTCTACCCACCCAATCTGCCCGTCTGGTCCTGTCACGTACTTTCTGCTCCTAGCCTCCCTCCTGCTATTTTCTCTCGTGCTCCATCTTCCTCCCTCCCCCTTATCCCTTCCATCCGTCCTCTCGTCCCCTGCCTTGGGGCTGCACGAAATACACACGTTGCAGGTAAGAAAGATACACCCCGAAAGGGGTCCAATCGAAGACGAAGAGGGCGGGTATCGAGCATTTGGGATATACGTGTTGAGTGGCACACGAGAAGGGCAGAGCGAACAATCTTAAACTGATTGTTGTTGCTGTTGTTGATATTGAGTTGTTGATGTTGTTGTTGTGGTTGCGGTTGTGGTTGTGGTTGTTATTGCTTTTGTTGTTGTTGTTGTTGTTGTTGTTGTTGTTTTTCTTGTTGCTGTTGTTTGTCTTCGTCCCCCTCGCGACTCGCCGGCGACCCACCCGCGACCCACCCCGCGACCCACCCGCGACCCATCCGTGACCATGCCCACACGACCTACCCTGCAACCCACCCACATTGCTTTAATGAAAAAATCGGCGCCTGCGGCGGGCTTCTTCAGAGCCTCGCAGACTGCCGACGTCCTCGCCGCCCCCTCACTCTTAACCGCAACTGCGGGGGGGGCACGTAAGTTTACATCCGTCAATCTCGTTCGCTCTCTCTCTCTCTCTCTTTCCCTCCACCCTACCTGCCGCTCTCTTCTTCTCCCTGATCCTCTTTTACGTGCCCCCCCTCTCCGCCTGCCTAGATCGCCTTCACTCTATATCGCTCTCTCTTCGCTCGCCCATATCTACCCCTCTCCCTCTCCTTCTCTCTCCCTCTCTCTTTCTCTCCCTCTGGTCGGGACGCGCTCCGGGACTGTTCCGGGGGCAGACATCGAGGGGGAGCCCCGCCGACATCCAAGCATCGCGAAACGTTGACCGCGGCCTTGTCTTCTTTTTCTTCATTTCTATCCCTCTCTCTCTCTCTCTCTCTCCCTCTCCTTTCTTTACTCTGTCCCTGGGCCACCTTGATAGTTGGTGAGGAGTTTCTTTACGAGCTCAAATGGTCCTGACCCCTGGCACGCGAGGGAATGTGGCCCCCAATGGCGCCTCCTGACGACCTTGTCCGGGAGGCCCGGGAGTCTGGCGCCGAGCCCCAACTCGACGCGTGCGCGTTCGGAGGTCGCCGAGAAGCCTGCCCCGAGGCTCCTCCACGGTCCCTCGCAAGTGCCTGGCGAAGCGCCAAGGCCCCCAAATGTCCCCAAGTCGTCGTCCCCTTCGTCAACCCCTCGCCGTCCTCACCGTCGTCGTCGTTCTCACCGCTCGTCGTCGCCATCGTGGCGTCGCAGCAGAGGCTCGCGCCGCAGCCTCTGCATCCAAGGCCTCCCGATCAGCCTCAGAGCGACTGGTTACTTAGCATCCTCCCCTGATCACTGCCCAGGCCCCCGAGGTTTTGCGGACGAGGGCGGGGCAGCGGCCCAGCGGCGGGGGCGATGTTCTATTCCCCCTCCCTCCTGTCCTCCTCTCAACCCCTCCCGTCCCTCTGTTTCCCCGTCGCCCTTCCACTACCCTGCCCGCCTCCTCCACCCTCCTCCACCCTCCTGGCGCCATCTCTCTCCTCCTCCCCGCTCCTCCTCGTCTCTCCTTCCTCCTCCTTCTGCTCCTTCTCCTCCTCCGACCCCTCTTCTGGCTCCTCCTCCTCCTCCTCCTCCTCCTCCTCCTCCTCTTGCTGCTGCTCCTCCTCATCCTTCTCCTTCTCCTGTCTCTTATGCTTGGAGGTGAGGGGGGAGTGGAGTGGAGGACCCCTTATAAAACCTCCCCAAACTCACCCTGAACATTCCGAAACCTCCTCCCCCTCCACCTCATGCGGAGGGCGGACGAGGGGGGGGGCAGCATGCGGAGGTGCCGGGCGTGGGCGTCGCCCCGTCATCGCCCCTGCCCCCCCTTTCCCCTCTCCCAGGCAGCTGCTAACGTCTCTCTGCTTCTCCTCCTGCTCCTCCTGCTCCTTCTCCTCCTGGATCGATGTATTAGATGTGTTGGCCCTTCTGTGCGCACGCGGAAGAGCATCGCTGGCCACGCGGGGGACGAGCGCTCGGAAGACCTGCGGCCACACGTGCATCCAGCTCTCGTGGTGGACATGTATGCGGGGTCCACAATGCAACACATATCTGCGACCGAGTGAGGCCCGAGGGGGGGAGGGGCTCGGGTACCCCAACTTTGCTTGGACCTGCAGGGGTACGGCAAGTTCCTGCCTTGACGACGTGGGCCTTGGTTTCCGACACCGCGTGAACCGTTCAACCTTGTCCGATCAGTCTTCTGATCTGGATTTCGCGCCGTGGGCTGTACCCTTCGGGGTAAAGGGGGGGATGGCAAGTGGGGGGGTAGCGAATCAGCTCACGAGCCGCATCTGAACGCCTCGTATGCATTTCGCGCCTCGGGTCCCTTTCCTGCGCATCCAGGCGCCACAGAACGGACCCCCGCAGCCAGGCACTTCGAAGAGGGGACCCCGAGACCTGGCGTCTCAGGAGGTGAGGAGGCATCGAAACGTGCGACTTCCACCTGGAAGTCCCTCCCTGTCCTTGGGACCCCCACCCCTCTGGGCCCCGTCTTCGGGCCGCCGACGCAGGGTGTCCCCCTTGGAACGCCCGCGCCGGCGTTGCCCTCTGAGCCGAGGCGGCGCCGACCAGCCTCACCCCAGCCTCGTGCAGACCTTCTCGTGTTGGACTCGCATACGGTAGAGGGAAACAATTACTGAACACTCCCCCTCCCCCCCGACCTCAACGTTGGCACGCGCGGGGGAAACTGCGGTCGAAGTGCATCTCATCAGACCCACCGCCAACTTTGAACAGGGGGAGGGGGAGCCGTTGACAGATGAATGTGGCATCATGAGTGTTCGCTAATTTGTTCCGAGGCCTTGTATGTCTGCCCGTGCCCTGCGGTCGACCGTGCCCGCCGCACCCTGGGGTCTTCTGCCTCTTGCGGGTGTCCGCGCAGGTGGATGGCTGCTGCTGAGTGCGCCCCGCTGGCAAGGCTGCTTACCGCCGTTTGCGACCCAGCGGCGCATCGGATGAACAACTCTGCGCCTTACCCCTGACACTAGGTCGGGCGTGTCCCCCTACAAAGGGTTTTTTGTCGAAAAATGAAAAAAGTACGCAACAAATAATCAAATGATGCCCCAAAATACGAAAAAAATAATCCTCAGACTGTTTTTTTGAATATTTTCGAAGATTCCCCCTGTAGAGGGCCAGACCCGACTTCTGCCGAACAGTAGGGAGAAGAAACCAGGAGACCTCGACCTGCCTGGAAGCCCTTTCTTCTCCTCCAGAGGCCCCGACCCGAACCTCATCCTCGCCCTCGCGACGGGCCTCCAGCGCTGTGTGGGCCCCGGAAACGGCAGAGCCGTTTTTTCACCGTTTCCAAAAAAATGTCCCTTGAAACGGCAAAAAAACGGCGACCGGAAACGGCAAAAAAACGGCTCCAGGATTGGAACCGGAGCCGGAACCGGTCAAACAACGGCGACGGAACCGGTAAAAAAACGGCAAAACGGATCCGGTAAAAAAACGGCCCTGTCGTTTCCAGGGCCCACGATGCTCCAGCGGCCGTCTGGGACGTTCGGGGCACCCGTGGAGAGCTCTCGGCGAGGCGCAGCTGCTGGACAGCGCATCCCGAGGTGAGAAGCATCCCGCGAGACAGTCTTCCAAAAGTCACTGAGCACAAGTCCTCCTTGGCGCCCCCGCGCGCGAGGAGAAGTCTCTGCCTTCTCTGAAGGGGGAGCGAAAGGGTGGGGACCCGCACGTGGGGGGGGGGGGAAGCGTCGACCCGAAATCGGCGATGCATCGCCGATAGATCGGCCTCAGGCGCCCGATGGCCCTGCCGCACCCTCCTGGCTGGGGTGGGCTATCGGGCCCCTCTTGGCGACCAGTGGGCGAGTGGGCGTCGACGCGTCCCTTCCTGAGCCTATCCCCCCCCCCCCCCAATGTTGCTCCCGAAGGGCCCCGACCCGCAGCGCGGGGCGGAGGCAGGCCCTGCGAGCGCGACCGCGCGAGAGTGGGTGGCCGGAGAAGCTCGGCTACCCCTGGTGCCCGAGTTTCGGGGGCCGCGGGGAGGCCAACCCCGAGCGCGCAAGACGCTGCTATCGTATCGCGTTCAATCATCTGGGGACCCCAGTATGCCCGCACCAAAGGTCACTCTTGCGAAAGATCACTCGCACGTGTAGTCGAGAAGCTGGGAGTGGCCGAGCAAACACTGGGCCAGGCCGTAGAACAAGCCAGGAACGGGACAACATTGGATCGGGATCAATGGGGGATCTCTGAGATGCGGCGGAGCGGTTAGTCCCGTCCCTGGGCCTGGCTGAGGCAACTGGGGGCGAAGCCCGCGTCATGGCCAGCCCAACTGTAATTAGCGATCCCTCAGCGATTCGGCCTGTGTCTCTCTCTCTCTCTCTCTTCCTCTCTCTCTCGCTCTCGGTGTCTCGCGCGCTGCGTGCCACTGTTGACTGATCCCCCTCTCTCTGTCTCTGTCTGTCTGTCTGTCTCTCCCTCTCTCTATATGTATGTAAACCTCGCTCCATCTTCCCCGTCTTCTTGCAAGCTCGAGGGCGACTGTCCTCAACAATCTCCGCAGAACCGAACGCAGCCGCTGCCCACAAGGCGGGTTCGCCAGGGGTGCTGGCCAGGCCTTGCAGGGAGGAGGAAGCGTGGGAGGAGAAGCATCGTCAGATGAAGCAGTAAGGATGGCAGTAGTAGTAGTAGTAGTAGTAGTAGTAGTAGTAGTAGTAGTAGTCGTGGCAGTGGGCTAATCAATTGTGGTAGCAAAACAAATCGCAGTAGTCGTAGTAATACGTATTAGTAGTAGTACTAGTAGTAAGTAGTAGTAGTAGTAGTAGTAGTAGTAGTAGAGTAGTAGTAGTAGTAGTAGTAGTAGTAGTAGTAGTAGTAGTCGTAGTCGTAGTAGTAGTAGTAGTAGTAGTAGCAGGAGTAGTAGTAGTAGTAGTAGTAGTAGTAGTAGTAGTAGTAGTAGTAGTAGTAGTAGTAACCGTACCAGTAGTAGTTTTTTTTTGCAAACATATAGTAATAAGAATAATACTAGTAGTCGTAATCGTAGTCGAAGTCATGCCCGCAGACGTAGTAGTTGTAAAAATGTAGTGGTGATCGCAGTAGTCGTAGTAGTAGTAGTAGTAGTAGTAGTAGTAGTAGTAGTAGTAGTAGTAGTAGTAGTAGTAGTAGTAGTAGTAGTAGCTAGTAGTAGTAGTAGTAGTCGTAGTAGTAGTAGTAGTAGTAGTAGTAGTAGTAGTAGTAGTAGTAGTAGTAGTAGTAGTAGTAGTCGTAGTGGCAGTACTAGTTTCAGATGTAGTGGTCGTAGTCGTAGCCGTAGTAGTACTAATCGAACTCGTAGTAGTAGTAGTAGTAATCGTAGCTGCAGGGGCAATCGTAGCAGTAGTAGTAGTAGTAGTAGTAGTAGTAGTAGTAGTAGTAGTAATCGTAATCGTAGTACTAGTATTATATACTAGGTAGTAGTAGTAGCAGTAGTAGTAGTAGTAGTAGTAGTCGTGGTAAACATAATAATAGTCGTCGTCGTCGTCGTAGTAGTAGTAGTAGCAGTAGTAGTAGTAGTAGTAATGGTGGTACTAGTACTAGTAGTAATAGTAGTCGTAGTAGTAATAGTAGCCGTACTAGTAATGGTAATTGCAATACTAATCGTCAAAGAAACAATAACAGCCGTCGTAGTAGTAGTCGTACTCGTAGTGCGAGTAGTAGTAGCATTAGTAGTAAGAATAGTAATCATATTAGTAGTATTAGTAGCATTAGTAGTAGCATTAGTAGTATTAGTAGTTGTAGTAGTGGTGGTAGTAGTAATCATAACAGTAATTGTCGTAGTATTAGCAATCGTAATCGAAGCAGAAGTAGCCGCGGCCGTGGTAGTAGTAGTCGTAGTCGTAGTCGTAGTAGTAGTAGTAGTAGTAGTAGTAGTAGTAGTAAAAGTAGTAGTAGTAGTAGTAGTAGTAGTAGTAGTAGTAGCAGTAGTAGTAGTAGTAATGGTAGTA